CATAAATCGATTGATATAACAAATATATATATATATATATATATATATATATATTGCGGCTACTTATCGATTGACCATGGCTCACAATGTCGTTCAAAGGAATTATCATGATATACAACATACATACATGTAAATATATATAGGAATTATCTTAAATCTAGCACCCAATCAATTCAGCAAATGTACAGTTTTTGTACTCGTGTAACATTGTTTTATTTGTATGTGTAACACTCAATTTATTTAAGTATAATATTCAATAAATATAGTCCAACACATATAACATTAAGTATTACACTTAAGTAAATTAGGTGTTACACACATACAAATGATGTTATACGAAAATAAGAAAAAGTTACATTTATTAGGCTGTATGGATATCCAGTGACGAAGCCAGAAATTTTAGTAGGAGGGCTAATACACAAGTAAATTTTCAGTCATCCACTATTTTATCGTTCGATTTTTAATCAGCTAGATAAAAAGTGGAAAAATTTATGAAGATAGCTTTAACAAACGCCAATAATTCTGATACTTAATAGAATGACAAACGAAAACAAAAGAAATAAAATATAGACATTTAACTAATTTTATTACTTTGTTGCTATCTCTATTTTTTTACGATGCAAAATTTAGACATTCTCCCCAACAAATTATTGTATACTCTTTTCTTTTTTTAAAAAAAAAAAAAAAAAAGAGGACATAAACATCAGTGGGGGAAAAAAGCACTAGAAAATGAAAGAAAAAAAATAGAATTACTTTAACAAACTATCAAAGCTATTATTGAGGAGAAAAGATCTAGGATCTATGTGGGTTTGAACTTAACCCTTTGCCAATGTATTTATATATATTTAGGAATTGTTTTTGAGTCCGACACCCAAATCAATCAGGTATGCATAATTTTTTTTATGTCCATATAGCATCTTTTGTACATACATGTGTTGCACTCATTTTGTTTTAGCATAACATTCGGCAAATATAATCCATCATATGTAACATTAAGTATTACACAGACATAAAAAAAAAAAAAAAGAGTATATATATATATATATATTTATATATATCACATAATTTGCTTTATCCTTTTGCTGAAGATTTTAATCAGATATGATTGGCACTAGTTATATTCATCAATAAAGATGGCAGGCAATATTGCACTAAGATGAAATAATGAAAGGCTTAACTAGCAAATTGGAGATAGATAGCTAGTGCAGAGAGTGACATGATGATTGAATGGAGGTACTTCACTAACATCAACAAAGCATATGAAGTTACATAAAGTTAAGGAGAGGCTTGGTAAGGGGATTTATATAATGATTTAAATCATGATTTATAATTCGTTATAATATTTTCTCTCATAAAAAATACACATAAATCAAAAATAATTATAATCTCATGATTCTAATTTATGAACCAAGCGTCTGAATCTCAAAGTGAAACAAAGAATCTTGTTAAAAGCTATATAATGGAGTGTAGTAGCAGACACGTACCACTAATGAGTGCTGTGTGGTTACTTTTTGACCAACTTATTAGAATTATTTGCATCTAAATTCTAACCTAATCTGCCCATGAGGTCAATGAGGGAACTCATGAAAGGTGTTTGTCTTAAAAGTTTGGAATCCTATGTGAGCATTTCATGACTTTAATCTATATTATACTTTTAAAGTATATATATGTTTTATAATAAGATCTTTGTTTGGAAGTTCATTAGATTTATCGAAGTTAACCCCCACCACTGAATAAAGAACACAACAATGATATCCTTATGCCTTGGCTATTCATCTTTTTCTTTTCTTGCCAAAATAACTAAGTGAAATGAGTACATATGATTTGACGCCGGACCCATATTTATACCTTGTTTGATTTAATTAATTAGTTTAAATTATTATGGATTATTCATTAGTCAATAATTTCATACGGATAATGGCCTTTAACTCACTTTAATTTGTAAACATCTTTAGTTAACGATAATACTAATTTATTCACAAAAACTCCTTTTTCCTAGTTGACCTGTTTTTCTTTTATCCGGGGACAACAAACATATTCGTTTAAAAAAGTAATTATAGTGAATAAATAAAAGGTAACCAAAGGTATTCTAATAGATCAAACGTACGTACTAATTAATTACTTATATACGTGTATAATTTTGGAGACGTTTTTCATCCGCGGATTAAGAGTGTGAAAATCAAATAGCAAACACTAAGAGCTCGTTTAATTCGTTGATTCGAGTTTTTAATTCAAGTTGAGATATGACTTTTATGTGAGAGTTTTTTACTGTAGGAAAAAAGTTAATGTGACTGTTTTTTAGAGCTTTTTACTGTAACAAAACTCAAATTCTAAACTCAAATTAGAGTTTAACTCCCTCTTTAAGTCAACCATTCAAACTATTTTTGAACAGTAAAAAAGTGTTCAATTTTTCTGTTTTTCACACCTATTAAACACAAATTCAAATTTTATTCTCTGTTTAAATTAAAATTTTAACAGGACATTTAAATACCAATTCAAACTGTACTGTTTCATTTTTTCTGTTTAAATAAAAAATTTAAATCAATAAAATTTAAACTAATGAATCAAACGGAGAGACGTAGTGTTGTCAATGTAGAGCTAAACTGCGGTGTTAAGAATCTGGAGCCTATTAGCAATACTCAATAGCAAAATCACTACAGACTCTACGATCGAGATGGAATTAGGGTACACCATCGGCATAATATTGACCAAAATATTTCTTAATGGTAGACTGCAAATAAATTAGAGATTTCTAAAATGATTTTAATTTTTGTATAAAAATGGAAATGAAAACATTTTTAATTTCAAATAGAAATCATTTTTAAAAATGTATTTGGTAGTTTTATTAAGAGATTATTTTCAGTTTAAAAAAACTCATTAATGTCTCTCTCTCTGCTTGAGAGAGGATAAAACGAAAAAAAATGAAAAACGATTAAAAGTTATTTTCATTTCTTTTCCATTTTACACTAAATTAAAAAATCATTTTCATTTCCGTTTTTTGTCTTTAATTGTGTCAAACGTTATTTTAAAATCATTTTCATTTTTTCTTTCTCAAAAAACGTGAAAAATAAAAATAAGAACAATTCTAAACAGTTATCAAGGTCTGACCTTGAATATATAGCATATCATTACAAGGCCTAACCGTACAGACCAATCATAGAATGGCATGTGTCATTATTTTCCAAATCATTTCTTGAAATTCTTTGAAAGCTTACACGATTATTGACATATATCAATCAAAATGGACTCAAGGAATTCTTCTAATTGATCACGCCACTTATGAATAGAACATTTGGTTTCACATTTTCTATCATTTACCCTTTTGCTTATATTTTGTTATTCTTTTTACTCTCAAAATTGTTTGCTTGACTTGAACATTGGAGTGTCTTCTACCGCCAATGTCTCCATAGCCAAGAGCAACTGAAAGCGATGGAGAACAACGGAGCAGAAGAAAAGCGTTGATATTGAGATAATCCACTAAAAAAAATCATCCCCTAAAAACAGAAAGACATTAAATATATATATATATATATCCAGTACAATATTATATAGAAACACACTCTCCGCATATTCATCATCAGAGCTCCACTAGCCTCTCTCTATCATCAAATCCGAGGTCAATAAGAAAAATGGTATCTTATAATTAGTCTATTAATTCAGCAAATTAACAAAGAGAAATATATATTAGCAAAAATAAAAAAAATAGAGAACATATGAACAATCATTAATTTATAGCTTGAGCAACACGCTCACAATGTGTGATAGCATGTATATATATGAATCTCATACTAGACTCAATATTATCTATTTTATATATAGTATGACAAAATATACTTATTCTCTATGGATTTCGTGGCGAATATTGTTTTTATTTTCGTTGTGGTACCGGCCTTTAATTTTGTACGAAACTAATTATTGTGTAGAGATGCTGAACCCTTGCTTTTACAGAGATCATAGTTTTTCACATATACATATATATATATATATACACACGTGTTATGATCATTCTCTTGTGAACTTGCAATAATATTACAGCAGCAGAAGCGCGCACACGCACAAATTGCGTGTGAGTCAAGAAAATTTGCGAACGCTTAATGTACTTCAAATTGCATGTTGCGGTTTTTTTTTTTTTTTTTGATCAATTGCACGTTGCGTTTGAAATCAAAGTTTGAAGTTTTTCGTTTGAACAATTTGTCCTTGTTTTCTTTTAAATATTGTTATTATTTTCTTTTAAATATTGGCTATGCTTTCCGATAGTTTACTCACCTCTAGACCACTCCAATTGTTTAAAAAAAAAATTAGTGTTACCTTCTTAATTTTCCATGGACCAATTACTCTAGCGGTCGATTACATTGCTCATGCTATATATATATATATATATATAGACAGTTTACATACACACTATATTCAAATGAGATATTAATATATATATATAGTTTATATATTCAGATTGACTCCAATATTAATGCTGGAGGAGACAAATATATATGTATATATGTATATATATATATATTTTATCTTTTGAAAATATCTATCGTGCTTTGAGAAGACATGATGTTGTCCCAATGTGTCCAGCTTTTAGAACTCTTAAGACTAAACTATTTTGGGTTACAACAGTACTTTAACTTATCTTGAAATGTTTTAGCCAAAAAGACCTCAATGTGGTCCATAATGAAGAGATACTTTTGAGATTATTTTTTGACACGATAGGAGTTGTAGGTCAAAAATTCCTTGGACCACTTTCAGGAACATGATCTGCCTCTTTCTCTTCTTGATGGTGGGAGAGTAGGAATCTAGTATTATTATATAATGTGTCTTATCTTAACAATAAGTATTTATACATATAGTATCTTATTTAGTAAAAACTACAAAATTAAGAGAAAATTGCATGGCTAAATAAAGTAAGAACGCTAGAGACAGAACTGGCTTTCTTTCATAAAATCTAGGAGTAGAATAGAACATAGATATATTAATACCAAAAACTACATTCTATAGCGCACAAAATGCCAAATTATAATTTGGCTTTAATTGAACATAGATATTGAGTCTTCATCACCTGAAGATCAAATACACATCTAGAAATTGGAAAATAAAAAAAAATAAAAATAAAAAGAAGAAGAAAAGATCAATATAGAGGAGATTGGGAGGGCCAAAAAGAAATCAGTACGTAGCTCGAACGAGACACAATGAGATCAGAAATGTCTTTCGATCCAATTCTTAAATATTACTTAGGAAATTAACGGCAGTAGTACCTGAAAAGGTCACAATCACACAACCCCAGAAAAAAAAAAATTCAATTCTTTGCTAAGAATAAAAAACAGCAAAAATTAAATAGAGAAAGAATTTACGTACTCACCAATAATTTTTAGTAAATAACAGAAAATCTACGAATATGGAGACTTGCCAGTACTGGAGTCTCTTGGAGCATTGCATCTGAAGCATTCCATCCTGCTCGCAAAATTGTGCTCATTGCAACCCGACCTGTACACACTTTTTTCAGAACATTCGCCCATTTTGTTTTTTTTTTTTTTTTTTTTCCTTTAAGTCCTTATAAATAGAAAGAAAAAAGAAAACAGACCACCTAACAAAACTAGACATATATAGTTAAGGCAAAAAAAAACATTCCTCTAAGTTAAAATTAACATTTTTTGGAAAAAAAAAAAAGGTATGTTTTTTGCTCCTTAAAATGCTGAAAACTATAATAGGTCTTGTACATTTCTATATGTGCATGCATGCATTCACACAATTGGTAAACATCTTCTATCGTATTATTGTTTTTATAAAAAGCAAAAAATGGGGAGTTAAACCTGGTGCAAATCCAGTCCCCAGATTTCCATCCAGATCGACTAGAGCCGCCGCTGCCGAAGCCGTAGCCTCTCATTCTATTCATTTCGGCCTCATAACCGCCGCTGCTGCCGGATGACTCATCCTTGGAAGCGCCGCACTTGTAGCAGCTGGAACGGCTGGCGAAGTTATGAGCACCGCAGTTGCCAAGGCTGCAGTACCAGTCACCGGGGCGGACGTCGGGCCCGGTGGTGAATCCAAAGGAGGAAGCGCCGCCGCCCCTCCCTCCGAAGCTCCCGTAGTCTCCTCTCTGGTCACCGCCCGGTCTACCTTCTCCGCAGCGCTGGCAGGACTCCCTCCTTTGGAAGTTCAAGTGGTTGCAGGACCTGCAATTCCAGTCGCCTGGCCTGTTCATCCTTAATTTCTCTGAGAACGACATTTTTCCAACAAATTAGCATTAACATTTATTTGCACTCTATGTATTTATATGTGCTAACAATAGTAGTACTACAAATTAGAAAGCTAAAGTGATCATTTCACCTGGATAAATTAATAAAGAGAGTACTAGTGAGAAAGGGAATTGAACAAGTTGAAGGATTAATATCTTGAAGATGAGCTTTGGTTGGATGTGTGATACTGGTTTGAAGGGTGGGTTGTGGTGGTTTTTATACTTGCTTTAAGACCTCGAGAATCGGGTGGGGATTCTCAGATTTATGGGGGGGAATATTTTGTTCTTTTTGATATTCTTGCGCCATCACTTTAATTGTTGTTTCCTTTGAAATGGAATCACGAGAATTATAATATTGGGAAGAGTACAAAAAGGATTAAAGAAAATTTCGAAATTTCGGAATCCTTAGGAAATGAGAAAATTTGTTTCACTTAAAGCGCTTCGTTGCCAGCAGTTTTGCTTTTAGGGTTTTAGGCAAATAATGCACGTAAAACATTTCATAAGTGAGTTCCGAAATTGCCCTTCATTTTGCTTCTAGCCATGTAATTGTGTGCGTGTAAGTATGTGTATACTTTTATGGATTCTCCTATTTCTGTCCTTTTATATATCTCTATAATATTATATCACGTCAATTAATATGTCATGTTAATTAAAATATTATGTCAGTTAAAATATTTTAATTGATGTGACATGAGAAATATGAAATGTGATAAGAATAAGGGATTATAAATAAACCGAATTTATATTTTTATGCACTCATATCATGTACTTTTGGCTTATAAATGAAACCCATTTTCCTTCATACTAAATTCAATATAACTTAACTACTAACATATATGTGTAGAGTTCACACATGATGTCCCAATTTTCCTCTCCCTGTTTCTCATTTAATCTAAACTTAACAATTTGACCACAAAGTACTCAAGCGAAAATGAGGTGTTAAAATTTAACTGGCCTTTCAGGTATAACTAATGCGGCTGTAGATTTGAGGCCTCGTTTGTATCGTTAGTTTAAATCGTAATTCAAGTTTTTGTTTCAGTATTTTCTCTTACAAAAATTCAAATTCAATTTTTTCTGCTACAATGTTTTCTCTCACATGAATTCATTTTTTAACTCAAACGAGCTAAACTAACGAGGTTTGCACTTATACGTGTGTGTTTAAAAAGATAGATGATATATATATATATATAAGTGTAATTCATTCTGATCTTCCATTAGTTTGTTGTCATTGTCAATCAGAAACCATGGATCTTCTTGGCAATAATAGTCATAATCATAGGAATTTTCAACGTAGAAGCAGTAATTGGACGATAAAAAATATTAATTGTGTTGAACTCTGGCCATGTCCCCACATCAAGCAAAAGTAGCATGCATTGTAACCTATATACACAACAAAGCCCAAACAAACATCTTTTAATTATTGTAACCCCATGAACCACAGACTTTTGACCATGATATATTGCATTTATATACTAATTTAAGGAAGGTTTCCCTAAAACGAAATCTTGGTTGCAAATTCCCCTTTGGCTTTCTTATGTTGAGTCATGAAGATTGGATAAGAAGGAACAAAAGTTCACTCTTTCCCTCGATACTGTTCTTACCAGACAAAATGAACATTCGTAGCACATAACAAAAAAAAAAAATTTTAAAAAAGACCATAGATGGAAATGACCCCACAACTTATTCTTATCTGAAAAAGAGTATAAAATCAAGGAGTGGTAATGTCTCGTTCCAATAATTTTGAGAACCCCACATCCTTAGTCACTATACTATGAAAAATGGTGGTTGCTTTTTAAATTTGAATATTCTATCTTTGTACTTGGGACAAAAATGTTTTCCTTTTATTAAGTCAAAATTGGTTCTTATGCTACTATAAGCATGAATAAAAAAGTATAAAATTTATTTTGAGCACCTTGAGGGGCCAAACTGTCAATTAGGACAAAAATAATAAGGGAGAATGTAGTAAATAACAAATTTATGAAACAAAATTGAATAAATAACATATTTTAAAATTATTTAAAGTAAATAGGAGTTACCGTGTAAATGTTTTATTTACTACTAGTAAAAAGATTGTTTTCACGAAATTTCTTTTACTACTGGTAAAAATATATTTTTTTTCACATAAATATAAAATTTTTACCACATAAATTATTTTTACCAATTGTATATAAAATATTTACACGATAAACTGCTATTCACTTCAAATAATTTTAAAATCTGTTATTTACTTAATTTAGTTTTAAAAATCTATTACTTACTACAATCTCTGAAATAATAATAATAGGATCGCAACCCGTCCGTCTTTTTTTTTCATTTTATTTCAACCATTATATTACATTTGGTAATTAACTCTGTGGAAGCCAAGTTAAATTAAAGTCGCATAAATATAAATAAAAGAACGCTCTCTCATGATCATAAACTCTGACAAAGAGGAAAAAAAAAAAAAAGAACGTTCGCACTTCGAATGCTTATTTTTCGTTTTCAATTAACTAGTTTTAATCACTTGAATTGAAGGACTAATATGTCTCTTTTGGGACCAAAATTTTATTGGGAGAATTAATTAAGGTATCTAGTGCTCAAAATCAAAGAAAGGGAAATGGTAGAGTTTCGATAAAGATAGTTGAAGCTGATCATGATGGAAGAGGAGTCTTCGAGGTTCAAATTTTGACCATCTTTTCTTTTTCTTTTTCTTCTCCATGACTACCAATCTGGCTTTTTCATTGTCATTTTTCTTTTCCCATTCTCATATATATCGTCCTATTTCGACTCTCATTTTGAACGTTTCTCTCTCTCTCTCTCTCCTCTCTAATTAAAGAGAAGGAATTGAACCCAAATTTAAAAAAAAAAAAAAAAAAAAAGTACTTGCACTGATGCAAATATGAACTTTCAAGACTGCCCACCATTTTTCTTGGGGAATGGTAAAGAAGGCTGTAGCAAACTGTGAAAAAGCAAAAAGAAAGGAGGGGACTGATTCGATCTCATTGGGAAATGCTTCCATGCATGACCATGACTAAACCCAATACACTTAACGAGTTAACGTATACAAATCCTTCACTTTCTCCTTTAAGCGCGCGTTTTTTCATCAAATTCAATGCCGTCACCATATGTAATAATCAGTATTAACAATATTAATCCTAAGGATAATCAATTAATGTCTGAAATGCTCAAAGCCATTGCGCCCATATTGTCTTTTTGTTCGGACTACTCGTTTGGTTAATTCATCATTATGAACATAAAGTTTGACTATGAATTTAAAATTTTTTATGAGAAAAAGTACTGTAATAAAAAGATTTGAACCGCGGTTCGAATCCGCGAGATAAATGATTTCAAATCAGTCAAAAAGTCCAAGATTTTGAAGAAAACATAAACTCCGAATTAGTGTTTGAATTTATAGTTCATCTCAATATGGTTGCCTTACTATTTAAGCCAGAAACATGAGAAATTAATAATTTCGCTTCTTAGAAAAATACGCAGAATGTAATATTTCGACTTTTTTAAACATCAAGTAACATGTGCGTGGGTAAAGTTATTTGGTGTTGAAATTTAAAGAACTAGCTAGGATAAGATCCTTACTTTCACCAGGGTGGCGTAAAGATTGTAAGACTCAGAACAGAAAAATATTCGATATTTTTCCATTCTATTAGATTATTTTCTTTTCTTCTCTTATTGCTTTGAATTATTACTTGTCGAGTTGTATAATTAATAAACTTGACTTGTGTTAAAAAAGAAGAAAAAAGAATAGAAAAAAAATAACATTAATTGTATGGGCTTCGGCTATAGTTTTAGCCTGACGGACTGGTCCGGCGACAGGTGGCACACGCATGAATGAAGCTGTTGTTGTAGTAATGTGTCAAAAAGATAGCTGTGAAATACTGCATTGGACAGTGGATGCCAGCTTTGAGTTACCGTCCACAACCGGTGTGTTTTAACTGTTGTAATGACATTAATTGTAAATATATAAGTAGCATGGTATCGATGCAATCATTTTATGATGCTTTTAAGATTTTTTAAATTAGTAAAAATTGTTGTATAATTGTGTAGAACTTACCCACATATATATATATATATATAGTAATATTAAAGTTTCTACGTAATGCGTGTATGGTTGCATGCACGTGAGGCAGTAGAGAGATGAGGGGGTGACGTCATCACAATGATAGAAATAGCTCTCTTTTCTTCAACTTTTTAGTCACCCAATATCTTTTTCCTTATGCTGTGCGAGTCCCCCAAATGTCCACCCTCTCTTTCACCTTTGCACGGTTTTCCACTCCTAAGCTAATTACATCCTTACACGATATGTCTTTGGCACATCACCACAAAAAGCCATCAATCCTATTTGTGCCCCTTTTTCTCTTTCTAATTAGCCCAACAATTACCAAATTATTAACTTTCAATCAATTATTTTGTGGTTGATCTACAACATTTTTACAGTTCTATTTCAGATTATTACAATTTTTTTTCTTTTTTATGTGGACAATGAGTCTAAACCACTAATTTAATCTGCATCTACTGATTTGCTGCAGTATGGATTGGTTAATTAGCAATCTTGCTCACTAATTTGCATACTTTTATTACGTATTGAACTTTGCGGTTCATTATAATTAACAATATTGTTCGTGCGTGACTTGGCCGAAAGGTTAATGAGACTTATATAGCAACTTGCTAATATTCATTTTGAGATGTAGATTTTAAAGACACTTGTTAAATTTTTTTTTGGGAATTAAAAAAAAAAAAAAAAAAAAAAAAAAAACAGATAATGATAGATATAGCAAACTTCAAATTACTTACAGTCTTACAGTGAGGTTTTCATTCTTACTGTCAATATACATGTAAATGGTTCCTTCTCAAATGAAACCTTCAAGTGGTTTTCTATCAAAATTTTCCCGTCAAGTGCTAATTTACTTATCTTAGTATTTTTTTAATCTAATAATTACTTACTACTAGTTCTCTTAGTTTTTTATTATCATCATTCATTTATTATATATATATATATATATGTGTGTGTGTGTGTGTGTGTATTTTGATCTAATTCATTTTGTATATATTTTAAATTTATTCCTATTAAAATAATATTTTAATTTAGAAATTATCCCATTAAAATATTTTTCTTATAATTTTCTAAAATAGCATAAAAATATTTTTTATTACAATTTTTTAAAATATT